TTTATTTCATAGCCAACCAAACAATCCTAGTAAAATTTGAAATTCAATGTATTTGCTTTGCATTTACTTTGCATTGCATTCTCTAAATACATGATTACTAAATGCTTGCAGCCAAAGAGCCCCTTAAAATGGATAAAATTGACACAAAATAAATTCGCTATCATTAGTAGAAAATAACACCTTGATTAGGAAGTTGAAAGATAAAGAGAGACAGCAGCATTTTTGAAAGATAAAGAGAGAGCAGCATTTTCTCTAAAGATAGAAATTACATAGTTTGCAAAAGGCGTACCATAATAGCCAATTGCTGTTGCGCTGATCAGAACAGAAGGCCGTGTACTGGAATTCATCTTATTAATCAGATCAACCACCTTCCACAATGGCTGAATGTCAGATCTTGAGAATTCTCCAATTGGAAAAATAAAAAAAGAGCTAATTCATTAAGCAAAATGGTTAGAGACCTTAGAAGTAACTTTGACTCGGCTTTGCTTAATTTCCTTCTTGACCTACCAGACAAAGAAAATCAAGGTAGCAGGATGCTCTAAATCACAACAACAAAATCACTAAAATTTTATATAATGTTTAAAAATAAATAAATTATGGATACCTAACATCAACTAACCTCAGATGACCATCTAGTACTTATGGGCATTCCAGCCAAGTTTACAACAGCATTTGAACCTTCAATACACTTATTCCACCCTTCTTCTTCCGCAATCACAATCTCAGGAAACCTTCGCCCTGCAATTTATCAAAATTTTGTTCAAGTAAAACATAGATTTAATCAATAAAGTTTATGCCAAATAGTTAAATATGCTGTTTAGCGCCACCATTTTGGAACATCGCGTGCACTGACATTGAGACATTGGTTTTCGCTGAAAACTATGCCCATTTCATGAGAACACTGGATAGTGTTCTTGCGCTTTCCAGGTACCAAGCACGAATAAATATAATTATATAAAAAGCATAAAATTTGTCAAGGCCATTTTTACTCTACATTACGCCAATGTTCATGAATTATAAGAGAAATAAATGTCGAAATGCTAGTA